GGTATTTTACAAAATAGGGCGGACCAGTTCAATTTTGATAAAAATGTGGCTTAGCTGCTTTTTTCTTCCTGTACCCTTCTTGATTTATAAGTTGATTAATATTTATTTTTTGTTTTAGATAAAACTCTTCAACCTCTGTGGACAATGACTTAACTTTCCAGCTAATTAACACGCTACATTTAATTATTCTATTTTGTATGTTTTTTTTGTTTTAATAAATTAATTTTGTTGATCATGCTTTTTAATTTTTTGTAAAAATATTTCAACTTGTAGTCAAGTTAGGATTGGTTCATACTACTCATTTTTTGCTTTATTGTAACAAATATAATTTTATTGCTACAATAAACGTAAAAAAGGAGTTGGTATGAACAAATCTTAATTTGACTACCACTTTTAAACTAAATATTGAAGGACCATTTTGAATGTTCCCGCGTTTTGTGTTAACTAAAGTGACCGCGAGATGGCGCCACTTCCGCCAAATAGTTCAAAGAACGCTCACCGGGTGTTACAAAACTGTCTCAAATTTTAACATTGCAGTTTCCATTCTAAAAGTAATTGTTCTGTGGCGGTACCGTCCCCGTTGAGAATCACACAGATCGTATATGACTTTGTAGCACAGCTACTCTTACCCTTTTGTCATTTTCCGGTGTTCGTACAGAACGAGCTTTTCCTTTTGGTTTTTGTCTGGCGGTGAAGCAGTATTGCGAAACTTGAGTACCAATTTTTCGATTTTTACTCGAGGACCTGGATCGCATAGATTTAAATAAAAATGCCAATAGCAAAAAAATCGATGAATATTGGTAATAGACACATAGTTGATAGTAGACAGTATTAGATTAGGAATCATACATAAAACATGGAAAAACCCCGCCAATGAATCGTGTAGGTAATCCGAAAAAAATGTTTTTTTTATTGGGAAATAGGATCCGTGATTCGAATCACATCTTGTGAATCGGATTCATGATTCGCACCTATTTTTTGAGAATTCGTCCCTGAGGTGAATTCTATGAGCTGAATAAGCGTTCGTTTTTTGGGAGCGCATCGCCTCTGCCTCTCGAGTATTTAAAAGGTTGACTCTTGTCGAAATTATACTCAGTTATAAAAACTTAATTATTTGAAAAATATTTCAATTAAAATCGAAAAACAACTAGTGGCTACTGGCTAGTTACTTCTTAGTAGATTTTTTACGGTAATTGCAGAGCGTGTGTTAAATTGGTTTTATATCCCATAAATAATTTATCGAAACTGACATAAAGTGTCGTAAATTTCCAACGCTCAATAAAGCGCAAACACGTTTTAATACAAGTGCATATAAAACGTTCAACAAATGTCCAATATTGTGCTGTCGTCTATGTCATTTAGTTGAATAAATAAAATGATTTAGACATATTGAATTGATTCGATAAATATTATTGCAATGCATGCGGAGCCGATTAAAAATAGCGAATTAGTTTTGATGAAATAAAATCGTTTGAATGCAGGTGAAACAGACACATCATGACCTCCAATACTCTATCATTAACTATTTACGTAATATAATTATTTTTTTGTTGCCTAAGTACTGGACAGCGGTGCACTTTATTAGTTTTTTTTTTACATAAATCGGCAAAGTTAATTTTTTTGTTGCCGTTTAATTTATTTAAGAATTATCATTTCCTTAAAGGAAATCAAAATGAAGAAAAAAGAATAATGTAAACAAAAAAGTTGTTTAGGGAATACAGACTTAATTACTCAAATTTACTTTCCAGTTTGCCTAGGGTTGCCAACATTGCGGTAATGTTGACCAAGAGAAAAAAATAGTTTGATGAATAATACACAAAATACCAAATTTTTGCCCCGTTTTGTTGTTGTTTATAACACAAATGACCAATAACATAATTGGTAGATGATTACAGAGCCTAATAATCACAACAGCTAGAAGATACATCAACCATGACCTCAGAAGGGGGGGGAGACTGCACATAAAATTCAGGTATTTCTTCAATTTTTCCGGGAGCGTGTTCAAAAGAAACTTCATGGGTTAAAAAAAAAAAACAATTTTATGATGGAGAAAAAATGGTCAATGGTACTTGTCACCAATTTGTAGGGTTGGTAAGGAATTGTAATAAAATACACGTACCATTTTAATATACAGTGAGCACCATAAGTCTTACCCCCCATATCTAACTCATTACTGGAGTCTTGTTAGGAAAATCGCCGAGACACGTCGATTTTTGTTTTCTACAATGTACATTTTTGTATGAATAGTTTACCCTTAATTTCATCCCTTACTGGAGGGGAGCAACCCTTTCGAAAAATTTAAATGGCATAGGGTGGTGAGTGATAGCTCATTTGAAAGAGAGTTTTATTCTCTATTCAACCGTGTAAAAAAAATTGAAATTTACTTCATTAATTATCGACTAATTGTTGTTTCAGAATAACGGAAATTAACGTAGCGCACTCATTGTTAGAATTAAAATTCGGCCCTGCATGATTTCGGTTTTGGTTCAGACGTGAAGTAAGACTTTTTGCCATTAGAAGGTCACTGTTAGTTTAGTTGCTTTCCTATTTTGTGAGGTTTTGTTATTTTAAACATTAATAAATCAACACGTAATGAAGCAAATTTCAAATTTTTTTGCACGGTTGAATAGAGAATAAAACCCCCTTTCAAATGAGCTATCACTCACCACCCCATGCCATTTAAAATTTTCGAAAGGGTTGCTCCCCTCCAGTAAGGGATGAAATTAAGGGTAAACTAATCATACAAAAATGTACATTGTAGAAATCAAAAATCGACCTGTCTCGGCAATTTTCCTAACAAGACTCCAGTAATGAGTTAGATAGGGGGGGGGTAAGACTTATGGTGCTCACTCTATATTTTACCAAGCAGCAAGTTAATAAGTAACTCAAACGATATAGCCTGACTGACAGAATTAAAACTTAACAATTATTAATATTATGGTACAATCGAAAAAGGTATATTATCCTCGATCTACCTGCGTCGATGCTGAGGATAATTTATTTCCAATTTCCTAAACTAAATACCCGAATAACACAACATATTTTTGCAATTGAGTTGTTACCTTAAATTATAATATTTATTGTATAATATTTCTACTGGGTGTAACGATGTGGCATACCACTACATCGGGTATATCTACATTCTGTATATAATTTTTTTTAAACTGGTATCAGACAAATTAATAATAAAAATACGGAGACAGTGTATAAAATAGTTTCGACACGTTCGTGATTAAAATAAATAACTTGTTTTGTTTTAAAATACTTCGCTTATTGACAAATAATAAACAGGTGTAAACTTGTAATCAGTACATCATTGTTAAATATTTGTTTTGGAGGAAGTGATTCACTTGTTTGCAAAAAAAATGGTGAATTTTGAAAACAATTCTGGTTTCTGATAACTATAACTAAATTTACGTTTGCATTATTTTCATTCATTTTTGATTACTTATCTGTTCCTCTTAGTCCATAATAATTTAAATTAGTCATAAACAAATAACTATAATAAATAAAACTTCTAAAATAATGATGATAATAATAATAATTATTATTAATATTCATTTCGAGATTATACACAATACTATTAAAAAGAGAAACAGGAAATAACTATGTTATACGAGTAGCACTGCTAAAGTTTTCCGAATATATTATTAACGTTTTAATGTCTAGATTTATTTTCCATAACAGCAGAAGTTCATTTTTATTTTTTTTTATTCAATAAAATAGTATAAACCAAAAATAACTCATATCTTTATTCATACCTATATATTATTATGTTTTTTAGATTGTTGTAAGATTATACAATTTCTTGTACAAAATTTGATACAATTTCTTGTACAACTAGAACAAGATTGGGTGCAATAATATTAAAACTTAATGTCTCAGTTGCCACAGAGTCCTAAATTAAACCATAAAACTGTGAAAACGGTAAAAACCCGTGATGAAAGCCATAAAGTCGAAAATGAATTATTTATGTTTGACATCTAAAATGGATAATGTAGAACAAATTTTCCTTTATAGTCTACAAATTTATCAGCAAATAACGCAAAAAAAATCGTCGACAGGCGAATCTTCCAAAAACCAGGGCCCAAGCATACAAGAAAAACTTGAAAAGGCAAATAGCTGAGAAGGGACCAAGGACATAGTTGAACATGTTAAGGGAAGATCTAGTCTAGAGCAAGACGTTCCTGGACAATATAAAATCAGGATAAACAATCAACTTCTTTATTAAATTAGGGCCAACATTGAAAAGCAAAATACACCAACATAAATACATTTAACAAACAAATTGATATTGGCAGTGTTCCTAGTATGTATCAAATAATAAAAATGGTGGTAAACTTGTATTTTAAGCGGCTTATACCTATATGCGCCTGTCCACACCACGTTTAGAATTTGAATTTTACTGTCTTTTAATTTTGAGGGCAAGGAAAATCTGTTTTACAAAAAATACATCAGAATAATCTAAAATTAAAGAATATTTTTATAAATCAACTCAAATTTGTTTTTTTTTTTTTAGATTTCAAATATCAGTATTATAATACTGTGAAATATGCAACTACTCCGCTTGTCAGAGCAGCAATCCTGCGCATTAAAAGCCGCCTAAATTACAAGATTACAGAAATGGTTTATAATAGTATATTATGTACCAAGGGACTAAAGTACCACTTTTAATCCCGAGCGGAGCAGGGAATTAAAATGCACTTTAGTCTCGTGGTACATAAGCTTATTTTTTGTACCGCAGGGAGTAAAATAAAAAAAAAGTATAGGTACACTAATATCAAATTGCAATTTATTATTTCGACGTTTTATAGTAATCAATTGTGTTTTTAATAATTGTACTATTAATAAATAAAAATATATGCAAAGTTTCAAATAAAACTATTTTCAGGATAATCTATAAATTTATTCGCTTATAAAAGAGGTCTTATATTACCTCCTGAATAAAGTAGTTTGCTATGGTTTAGTCCTTGAGGTTCAAAAAGTCATTATCGGTTTACCTGCTAATAATTTTTGTAAAAATTCTCCCTCCTTATGTTGTACAGTCTTAATAATAAATTCGTCATCTTGGGTGACGTAAAATATCGAACCACTTGCGCCTGGATTCGATAATTCTCTTAATCTCGAATTGCACATCGACATCTGGAATAACAAAAAAAAAAACAAATTAGTGGTTGCTAGTACGTCAATGTATCTACATAATACGAGTCCAGAATCATATCATTTGGCACATTCAATATTATTTTTTATTTTACTTTAGACAACATTGGTAAATACAAAAGAAAAATCTATTAAATTGAACTATTTTTATTATAATTTAAGATATGTTTATCAACATTTTTATTAAAATTAATATTAGAAAATTAGAGATATGCACAGTTGTCTAAAATAAAATTAAAAATATAACATTGAATGGGACAAATGATATGATTCTGGGCTCGTATATCATTAGAATACCTAAATAAAATTCCAACTTTTTAATTCACAAAATGTTAAATTGAAATTTTGACATTTAATCACACTTTTTTTAACAGACCTGACTATGAAAGTTTGGCATTTCAGTGTACGAGGCCTGTCTAAAAAGTATCCGACCTTAATTTTCCCGTGCAAAGTGGTGATTTTAAGGCGGCGCCTCTGTGCACGATGGAAGGAGGAATCTTAATGCGCATGCTTGAATTTTTTCAACGCGTTCGCTTGTGCATGTCGCTGGCTGGTGATCGCCAAGTAAGGTGCTGTTCTTAGTGTTCGTCGGATTTAGTTTTCTCGCAAGATGACTGAACGTATTAAGCAAAGATATTGCATCAAATTCTATCAACAGCTTGGTGATTCTCAAAGCCAAATAATTCGTAAGATTCAGCAGGTGTTTGGAGAAGGTGCGATGGGTGTAACACAAATTAAGGAGTGGTTCAACCGATTCAAAGGTGGTCGCATATCAGCGGAGAGTGAGCACCGTTGTGGCAGGCCCCAAACTGCTCGGAGTGCAGCTAATGTTGAGAGGGTGCAAAATTTAATGATGGTAGATCGTCGTTTGACAGTGCGGGAGATTGCAGAAGAGGTTGGAGTGAGTAAAGATTCTGCACATACAATTTTGCGTGAAGATTTAAACAGGTACCGGGTGGCTGCGAAATTCGTACCCAAGTTGTTGTCGCCGGAACAAAAAGACCTTCTGGACACCACCAACACTGATTCTGTATTTTTGAACACCGTGGTAAATGGAGATGAGTCATGGGTGTACGGGTACGACCCAGAAACAAAAAGACAGTCGTCGCAATGGAAGTATTCCGATACTCCAAGGCCGAAGAAAGCGCGTCAGGTGCGAAGCAAAATCTAAGTGATGCTGACAGCTTTCTTTGATGTCCGTGGAATTGTGCATCACGAATATGCACCGGAAGGACAAACAGTGACAAAGGCGTACTATAAAGATGTTCTCCGGCGACTCCGTGACGCAGTTCGGCGCAAAAGATCAGACATGTGGTCGGCGAACAACTGGCACTTGCATCATCCTGCACATTCATCCCAATTAATCAACACTTTCTTAGCCAAACATGGAATTACAACCGTTCGCCAACCTCCCTACTCTCCAGACCTGGCTCCTTGCGACTCCTGGTTGTTTCCAAAATTGAAGACGCCACTGAAAGGATCCTGTTTTGAGAGTAGAGAAGAGATTATGCGGAACGCGACGACGGAGCTGTACACCATTCCAAAAGAAGACTTCCAGAGGTGTTTCCAGCAGTGGAAGGATCGGTGGGCTAAGTGTGTGCAAGCACAAGGGGCCTACTTTCAGGGGGATTAGAATCCCAACTCTGTCAGGTATTCGAAATATTTTTTATGGCAAAAGGTCGGATACTTTTTAGACAGACCTCGTATATATTCTATGTTGGTGTGACGTAATTTGTGTTCAACTGACAGTTAAATTTAAGAATAACAACATTAAGATTTCGTGATATCTTTGTTTATGTGCTAGGTACGAAAATAATAGTACCCAGACAATACAAATAGATCCATAGGACATCTATTCGATAAACATTTTGGATGTCTGGACGTTCAAAAATGAGTTTTTTTTCTGGACTCTTGGTATCCAGTGGACGTGCAGTGGGGTATACAAGAGGCACACTTTTGACCATTCAGAGGATGTCCCTTTGTGGGTACTATTCGGATCTTGAACATCCATGTTATAAACGTTAAACAATTACGAATGGTCGTATATTAAACGTTTTTGATAGGATACTGGATATTCAAAAAATGTACCTTTCTGGATTATATTCCATTGCATTACTTAAGACATCTCTCTTCTATTTTTTACGCACCAGTAACTTACCAAAACACAATTTTACATTATTAATAATTTATTTATTGATTTCGCATCCCGCCATAAACCATTATTATTTATTAAATTGAAAAACGTCTGACCTCACACGTCCGTTACCGTTCTACGACTTCAGCCGCTATACGACCTCGACCACCGGGACGCTTAACAATCTGATAGTTCTAATAATTAATAAGATTTCAAACTTCTGCTGATAGAATGAAATGCAATAGATTCAATTTTTAATGACCAATTATATTAATAAAAAAAGTGTGTATGGGTATTATCTGATATGTTAAATAAATAATTACCTACAACCTAAGATGGACGTCCACTGGACGTCAAAATACTATCTTCGTTCGCGAAGAGAATCCTAAACCGAATTATTACTAATAGTAACTGTTGGATTTGTAGTTTACTAAACGTTGAACCCAACACAAATTATGATTACGGCCCTAAAGCTCGCTTATCAAGTGGACTGTCTCCTTTCGGTGCTAGATGCAAATATTTTCATACGGATAATGAAATTCCAGCAACTTCTTAAAAAATAATTTAATGTGCAAAACATTATTTAAAAACACCTAGAGGCTTAACACTGCCTTAGGGTTAACATTATTTATTATTATTTTAACATCTTTGCTCAAACAATAATATATATTTATAGAAAAATAACTGCCATCCAGTTTTGTATTGAGACCCGTCTGACCTCTCTCGAAGTCCTAAACGATCTGATGTTTTGTGCCGTTCACAGAAAATATATACATGTCTACGTGCCAGAAACCCGTTGGCCTTGAGAGGTTTCGCGCTGATGCAACTTAGTGCATGCGATTATTATCACGTAGACGTTTATTAACAGATGTCCACAAAGAACACCTGCGTACCGAGCACAGGACCGTCTCTCGATTTCGCAGGCGCAGTAGTTAAAAAGCGTTCGCGGAACAGGCTGGTGGATCAGACAATAACAAAGTGAAATAGAAAATGGTCGTTATAAATACTCCCGAGTGAGATGAAAAATAACCTGTCTTCGCCCATAGAGTCGCATCTCAAGCCTATTGACAAGCATTCTACCCCACTCCATTCCATTGTGCCTGGGTAGTAATAATTTATGCAAGCTCCAAATTATTATTATCAATCATAAGTTGATAAAGGTCCTTTCAGACAACAATTTTCATCGTCTGGGACTTATTGTAAAAAATGTTCAAATTTAAAAATACTTTTACCGTATTATATGGTTTATGCGTTTCAAAAATTACTGTTAAATTATTAATTTCTACTGGAATCTATTTTAAATTTTATTTAGAACAAAGTAAAACTTTGTAGAAGTATATTTGTTTTGTTAACAACTGTGACTTTTTAATTCCTTATCGATATAAAATATTCTTAGACAGTAAACAATTTTAATAACTTAAACGCTTTTGTTTCTAAAAATACGAATTTTCTATAGAAAATTATTTAGTTTTTCCACAATCACGATATCAACGATTGTTGGACATGAATTTTATAATACATCGACAAACGATAATCTAGAATGCATTTTTTGTGTTAGTCAACAGATAACACTAGATAACAAAACTTTGATGTACGAATTTACGAAATGCAATAAAACGTGGAAAATTTCTGAATAATGAGCAGTAAAAACATGTGTCTATTAATAAGCTTATTAAATTCTAACAGTTTAGATTATTTCCTCTACACAACAAATTACATTTACTAATAAAGGTTTTGAGATTTTTCTAATTAGGACTAATGAAGACATTTACTAGAATGAATAAAATCATAGTTATTTTATGTACAAATGTGAGAATGATGTGAACTTTTATTAAGTAAGATAATAATATTTTTATCCATTGTTATTAATTTGTATAGGAACAATAAAAATATGGTGCGCAATTACTGTTAAAAAATAATGGAAATATGTATCTAGAATTATCAGCAAATAACCTTATTTTTATTATTGTTTTCAAGTTAATTATTTGTATGTTTAAAAATTACTCTTCATAATTGCCTTATGCCTTACTCTTAAATTTACCTAATTAAATAAAATATATTTTGTGCAATATAATGTACACATAAACACAACGTGGCTAGGGTTGCGCCCCATATCCGATTCAGGCTATTTTTAAAAAAATGTTTTTCTTTGTCATCGGCAACAACTGCTATGGTTATTAGCCTCGTATTTGTAATGAAATTATATAAATTTGTGTATATAAACTATTAAGAAAATTCTTGAGGATAAATTACATCATTTTACCTGTTACCTGTTTATATAGTGCTAGAAATACATCAAGTCCTCTGACAAAAGAGTATCGCATTTTTAGTTACAGTTTAAACGTGTCTTCTTATTTCAGTTGCACTTTGTTGTTGCTTAGCAGCGTAAACTTTATAAAGGTGCGTTTACACGAATACACGAAGTCACTTTGAAAAAAAATAAGATTACGTTTTACATTTTGTCTACAAATACTAGAACAATTTACTTTCATACTTTATAAATACATTTCCCATGGTCTAAGATCCGAAGTAAGGTTGATCTTAACCTATCTGTTTAACGCATGAAAGTTTCTTTTTATTAAATATGTTTATAAATATATCGCAAATGGGTTGCCTAAGAAAATACGGTCATGACTATTTATTTTCTTAAAATAAAAAAAATGACTCCCTGTAAAGTATTCCCCAGATGCTTTGATTATGCCCAAACTTAAATCAGCTCACAGCAGGATGGATTAAAGCTTAAGTTTAAAATTTGGTGTTTTTCTCTTCATCCGTTTTTGAGTTATTTTCAAAATTCGAAATTTGCATTTTTCCTCAAATACTTCAAATTAGGTCCATTTTAGGTAAA